TCCCATGTCCCCCCGGAACTGTCAGTCCCGTTGTTTTCTCCTCCAGATTGTTCATCCAGCCTGTCCTATCCAGACAGGCCAAGACCTTGATCTTTTAGCAGTATTCTCCTAACACCCCTCACCTTCAGAGGGCTAGTCATCTCACTGCCATGAAGTCGAAGCAGACTCACAGTGACCTGATACATCAAGTAGACCAGGCCCTGTGGGTTTGCGAGGCTGTAACTACTTACGGGAGTAGAGAGCCTCATCTTTCTCTGCAGTGCAGCTGGTGGTTTGGAACTGCTGACCTTGGGGTTAGCAGCCCAACGCAAAAACCACTATGCCACCTGGGCTCCTTAGAGGGGCAGTCGACGATAGAATTCAGACGATGGACTTCTCGTCGTGTATAAACTGTGTGCCATTGAGTAAGTCCGCTCACCCCGTGTGCTTGTTTCCCGTGTGAAAGGTGGGAACAGCCCCAGGGGACTCCCAACATTCCCATGATCTTGTCATTCAGTTGCTCCATGAACTTTGAAGCCCCCTGTATGAGCAGCTCTTGTGAGGATGGAGTAAAGAGTTTTTAAAGAGTGTAACCAAAAAAAAAAAAAAAGAATAACCCAACCCATCTCATTAAAACAAAACTTAGAGAGAGAGTGGGTATAGAAAAGGCTGATATTGCAGAACAACGAATTTGACCTGAAGGGTTAGGACTGGGCCTTCCCTGCTGTGTGGTTGGTTCTTGTGTCAGACAGGGTACTGTGCCCCTTTGAATGCTTCCTTTTATTCACACACACCCCTCCCCAATAACCTCATTGGTAATGTTGACCCTCATTTCAGGGAGGCGTCGTCTGAAATGGAGAGAGGTTCAGTAACTTATCCAAGGACACATAGGATCTGAACCTGATTCATACCATCCCGGCCCTTCAGCACTAACTTGTGCTGCCTCTCTTGGTAAATTCCCACCACACTCCTCCAAAGTAACACCTCTCCCCACTGCTTCTTGATCCAGGTCCCCACCAGCATCAGAGCCCTGTCGGTGGTCTGAGGAGCCTTCTGCCCCAAGGACGTCCGAAGGGCCCCTGGCCCAGTGTTGCCGGCCCCCACCATGCAGGAAAACCAAACATCACTACCGACCTCAACCCATGGCCTGTCCTTAGAAACAAACCAGAGCCGGACTTCCTCTGTGGTCCCAGCCACAGACTTGGCCATGCAGCCTGTGAAGGCCAACGTGGTGACACCCCTGGTCAAGTCCAAGGGCCTGAATGCAGCCAACACACGTCGGATGCGCCGAATCATCGCCGAGGATACCGAGTGGTCGCTGGCCATTGTGCCCCAGCTCACGGAGCTCTGTATTCAGCACATCGTCAAGAACTTCCAGAGTGAGTCCCTCCTGAGGTGGGCAGGAGGGAGGCCAGAGGTGGGCAACCTGGGGCTGAGACTCAGAGGCTGGGTCTCGTGGCAGCCCCAGACCTCATCCCTGCCTGGCCTTGCCCTTCCACCCAGGCCAAACCATCCAACCCTCCCCCCCCTCCAGGAAGCCCTCCCTGGACACACACTCTCCACTCTGATGGAGTTGGCATGTCCTGTGGTGAGTGGCCATGTCAGGTAAGTGGATCTATTATGTTCTCTGAAGACAGGGGCATTATTTTGTCTACCGTGCTTGTCACCACCTGATCTTACTGTAAGCTTATCATCCGCCCATCACTAGAATGTCTACTCCAAGTGTGTTAGTTTGGATTGACTAGAGAAACAAATCCAGAGACAGTCATGTGTGTAAGAAAGTGCTTTATATCAAAGAGCAATTGTATATTGAGAAAACACCCCCCACACATACACACAAAAGAAAACATACCAGGCCTGGGCAGTTCAAGTCTATAAGTCCAATATTAGCCCACATGTCCCATATCAGTCTATAAATTCCTCTTTAGACTCACGCAGCACATGCAATGATGCCGAATACAGGAAGATCACAGGCCAGTTGGTGCAAAGTCTTGTGGATCCAGTGGTGATGGAAGAATCTCAGTGCTGGTGTGGGTCTCTATGTGCCTCCTCCAGCTCTGGCTCCATCCGTATAGGTCCACGTGGCTTGTCAACAGGAATGTCTCACAGAGAGAGTGTGTCCTGACTCTCCAGAATCCTCAGGAGAAGGCCATCCCACACAGAGGCCTCATTGGTTATGACCTGATTGACAGGCTAGACTCCACCCCTTTGCTCAAGTTGACAGGAGATGATGTAACAGCCACTGCAAGTGTCCCCAGCACCTAGAACAAGGACTGGCATATCCTTGATCTTCATCAGCAAGTACTTCAAGTCCTTCTTTCTTTCAGCAAGCAGGTTGTGTCATCTGCATATTGCAGGTTGTGAATAGGCCTTCCTCCTGTCCTCATGTGGCATTCTTTATTTAATCCAGCTTCTCCGATGATTCACTCATCAAACAGATCGAATAAGAATGGTGAGAGGATACAACCCTGTCGCACACCTTTCTGGATTTTAAACTACGTAGTAGACCCTTGCTCTGCTCACACGTAGCTGCCTCTTGATCCATGTACAAGCTCTGCATGCACACAGTGAAGTGTTCCGGAATTCCCATTCTTCTCAAGGCCATCCATGGTTCCTTAGGATCCACGCAGTCGGACGCCTTGGCATAGTCAGTGAAATACAGACAAACATCTTCCTGGCATTCTCTGCTTTCAGCCAACTCCATCTGGCATCAGCAGTGCTGTCCCTTGCTCCACCTCCTCTTCTGAATCCAGCCTGCATCTCGGGCAGCTAGCTCCCTGTCAATGGACAGCTGCAACTGTTGTTGGATGATCTTCAGCAAAATTTTACTTTCCTGTGATAGGAATGATACTGTTCCGTAATGTGAGCATGCCGCCTTGGGTCTCCTTTCTTGGGAATGGGTATAGATCACGATCTCTTCTGGTCAGTTGGCTGAGGAGCTGTGGGGCTTTCCTGCCACAGGCTTGCCCCCATCCACCTCCGAACGGTGGACTCCACCCTTCTGCTCCGACAGGATTGTCTTCTGGCCCTATCTCTGACAATGCTGTGCTTCAATTCATTGGCCCCTCGGTATCTGACAATGTTTCCATGTTACTTGTTAAGGTGGTCAGCGGCTACTCCCTCTGACACGGGCAGCCGGTTCCTTCTTATTCGTAGTCTGTTCTTAGTCCCAAGCTCCGAGGAAACCCATTCACTTGGGGTGAACCTGCTGGTATTTGAAATACCGGTGACATAGCTTCCAGCATCACCGCAGCACACAAGTCACCACAGTAGGACAAACGGACAGATGTCTGTTTTGAAATGAATGGTTCAAACCAGATGGGGCCTCTGAAGTCAGGACCGGTCTCCTCCATCAGAATGGGTGACGACTGAAGAATGAAGCAGAGATTCCTCCTCAAACCAGGAGCTCACTGAGACCAGACACTTAGGTGTCCCCTGCAGGAGCACCCCGAAGTCAGGGGCTGTGTCTCCCTCCCCAGGCTGATCCTCCCTATGGGCAATGGGTGCCTTCCCTCTCCAACTTGAGCCTTCCCCGAGAGCAGTAGCCCAGCCCAGGGCCCCATGTCTGGCTGATCCTTGCCTTTCCTCTCTCTGTTCCCAAAGACAACCCTATCCTGAAGCAGCTGATCCCGGCCCATCAGCAGAAGGTGCTGGACCACCTGTCCCCCGACCTGCCGCTGGCCGTGACGGCCAACCTGATTGAGAATGAGAACTACTGGCGCCGCTGCTGCACGCAGCGCTGGCCCGTGTGCCACGTGTCCAGGCACGGCGGCAGCTGGAAGCGCCTGTTCTTTGAGCGGCACCTGGAGCAGCTGATAAAGCACTTCATCCCGGGCACCACGGACCCCGCCGTCATCCTCGACTTGCTGCCGCTCTGCGGGAACTATGTGCGCAGGCTCCAGGTGGACCAGTTCCTTCCACCCGTCCGGTTTCCAACGGCGCCGCGGGACAGGGACCACCAGTCGGACTCCGGCAGCGAGGGAGAGATGGAGGAGCCCGCCGCCGACCACTACCCGCTGCGGGACTTGGTGGCCGGCCTGAAGCACCTCGAGGAGCTGGACCTGGTGTACGGGGTCAAGGACTGTGGCATGAACTTCGAGTGGAACCTCTTCCTCTTCACCTACCGGGACTGTGTCTCCCTGGCGGCCACCATCAAGGCATGCCACACCCTCAAGGTACCGCCTGCCCTCCCCAGCCCTTCCCAGCTTGTGGGCCACCCCCCACCCACCCCTTTCTTCCTTCTGTGTCATTCAAAGAACGGCTTGGGTGCACACCAGCCCAAGGTGAGTTCTGGGGATATGCAGAGGATCAGGGTGCGGCCCAGGCGTCCAGCGGCCAACAGGGCTCTGTCCTCGGTGCTGAAGGCACAACCATGCGCACACTCACGCCGCTAGTGCCCTCTGCCAGTTGGGTGGGAAGGACGACACTAATGGCCTAGTCACCCAGGGGCATAATTACCACTTGAATACGGTTGCTAGCTTTAGCCAATAAAAGTCTGAATTTCAGGGACACCCTGGGAATCAAAACAGTTTGGTTTGCAACCAACCCCCTGAGGTGGGGGCTGGGGGGGCTGGCACAGGACAGGCAGCATTTTGTTCTGTTGTGCATGGGGGTGCCAACTCCACCACTGTTCACCACACATCCATTTATTGCTCCCCTGAAATTCAGATTGAATGGGGCACCTTGTATTTGATCTGGGATGCACATTGAGAAGAAAAGAGAGCCGTAGAAGAGACATAATGAGGGGTTTGCCATGCCGGGGAAAGCTGCCCTGAACCAGTCTCACGTAAGCAGAGAGGAGAAGGGAGAGCAGAGTGATCTTCTGAGAAGAGCGGGACACATGTGCACATCCCAGGCAGAGGGAGCAGTGGACATAGAGTGACCTCAGCAAACTCAAGGGGCTGAAAGAGAAGGCCGGTGTGGCTGGAGCAAGGTGACACGGAGACAGAGGATGAAAGTGGAGCTGTAATATGTGGCCAGACTCACTCAGGAGGTGAAGGGTTAAGAGCTCTGGGACATCATCTAAAGGTTTTAGGCCAGGAGACCAGAGGGTTGCCTTTCTCATGTGAAAAGATCTCTCTGCTTGTGGCGGACGATGGCTGGGTCAGGGTCACGGTGGACACGGTAGGCAATCCAAGAGGAGACCATGGTCAAATCCACGTGAACCTGGGGGTAGTTTAAATGAGGGTGATGTCCATAGAGGATGAGGTAGATCCTTAGTCAGTGTGAGCAGCCAACTGGCCTTGCTGGCACACGGCTAGAGGAGCTGGAGGTGAAGGCATGGTGGACATCAAGGCCTCGGGCTTTTGAGGCATGATGGAGGAAGGGGCCCTTTGCCGAGCGAGGTCATGTGGCTCGAGGACCAGGTTTGAGGAGGTGGTCCTGAGTTCACTTTGGCCTTTGTGGTAGTTTGGGGGCATCCCAGAGAAGAGCCATTGAGTCACTTGGACAGCTGGGTCTGAGGCTCAGGTGACATGCATGGCGAGTTAAAAGTGGAAGGTAGCCATTGGAGCCCTGGAATTGGAGAGCGTCTCTTGTGAGAGAAGTCAAAGGCGAAAGAAGAGACTAGTGGAGAGTAGCCACATTGGCAGGGTAGCGTTCAGTGTCAGGAAAATAAGGAGTCCCATCCAGTGGCTGCTTATTCCCCTGTAAATAGGTAGGGGCGTTCACTACTGAAAAGGGGTCTCGGGGGGTGGGGGCAGACATCTGAAGTTTGAGGAGGGCAGGGAAGCTGAAATCATGGTTGTAGGTTATGAGGCAGTCCGTTGGCCAGACAAAGGTAGCTGGGTTGGCACGTGGCATGGAGGGTTTCTTGGTAGTTGGAGCTAATGCATTTCCAGTGATGCCAACTAGCCCTGCCATGTGAATTGTGTGTTTGGGGTTGTTGGGGTTTTTTTTTTTCTGTTTTGATTTTTGGCTTGATCACAGACGTGCAGAAAATAGAATTGGGGCTGATCCGGGGTTGGGATTTTGCCAGATAGACGCAATGAAAAAACAAGAGGGACGAAAGAGTCTAAGCTGACTCAGAGTGCTGCAAACAAAAAAGAGGGCGGAAAGATATGGGGAGAGTGGAGAGGACAGCGCCCAGGGGTCTCCAAGAAGAGAGGGCCAGTCAGTGGGGAGGAGAAGGGCAGGGCCTCCTCTCACTACACTATCCCAAACACTGGTCCTCTCCCCTTTTTCTTTCATTCCTGTCTCACCCGCCCCACTGTCTCCCTGGCTCTCATCCTGGGGAAGGGTTCCTCCCCCTACCCTGGTGCATCTTACCCAGCCGAGAAGGGCACGCTGAGGGGCTGAGACAGCGTCAAACAGAACAAGATTCAAAACCCACCTCTGCTCCTTAATCACTGTGGGGCCCTGAGCCTGCGATGTAATAGCCTCCGCTTCCTGTCTGTAAAATGGGAAGAACTGGCTCTGCCTCAAAGAGCTGCCGTGGCATACTGGTTGGGCTGCTAACCACAAGGTCAGCAGTTCAATACCACCAGCCTCCCCAAAGAAGAAAGATGAGGCTTTTTGCTCCCATAAAGAGTTAAAGTCTCAGAAACATTCAGGGGCAGTTTTGTTCTGTCCTACAGCATCACGATGAGTTGACATTGACCGGATGGCAGTGGCTTTTGCTTTCGACATCACTGGGATGCTGAAGGTTAGAAATAATGGTTATAAAATGTTCTAGCAGTATGTCCAGCACATCATAACTGCTCACTAAACGGCGATTTCTCCCCTCGGCTACACTCAGCCATGCTGGCTAGGCCTCCCCAGACTAAGAACCAGCCAGAGGCCCAACACCAGGCAAGCAGTCACAGACCACCGTGTGGCTCCCTCCTGCACCTGCCTCCCCCAGGTGGCTGGGCAGATTCTCCCCAGCTGGTGGGGTCCTGCAGCCCTCTCCCTGCCCACAGGTCTTCAGGCTGACCCGAAGCAGGGTGGACGACGAGAAGGCACGCATCCTGATTCGGAGCCTCCTGGACCACCCAGCCCTGGAAGAGCTGGACTTGTCGCACAACCTCATCGGAGACCGCGGCGTGCGCGCTGCAGCCAAGCTCCTGAGCCACAGCCGCCTGCGTGTCCTCAACCTGGCCAACAACCAGGTGCGCGCTCCGGGCGCCCAGTCACTGGCTCACGCCCTGGCACACAACGTCAACCTCATTTCCCTCAACCTGCGCCTCAACTGCATTGAGGATGAGGGCGGCCAGGCGCTGGCACATGCCCTGCAGACCAACAAGTGCCTGACCACCCTGCACCTCGGCGGCAATGAGCTGTCGGAGCCCACCGCCACGCTCCTCTCACAGGTGCTGTCTGTCAACACCACGCTCACCAGCATCAACCTGTCCTGCAACCGCATCGGCCTGGTGAGCCTCCAGTTTGAGGGCAGATGGGTGGGGGTGGGGGTTAGTGCACTCCAATAGCCTTGGGGTACTTTCAAGATCATTAAGATACGATCAACCCTGTCTAGTTCTAATCCCAGGTCGGCCATTTAGCCCTTGGGTGAACTGCTATTTAACCCCTCTGGGCTTCCACCGCCTCCTCTGGACAATGGACACAGTGGGCCCAACGAAACCAATTGTGGCCCAAAGAGGCGACAGAGAGAATCGGCAGTGCTTCCTTCCGCGATGCCTCAGGTCACCCTGTGTCAGAGCCGCCTTGGGGGCCATTAACCACCCTCATGAAAAGGGAGAGTGATAATAGCGAGTCCTTTGAAGTGTCCTCGCTAGACCAATTCCCTGAGTCATACTCTGAAAGCAATCGCTGCAGGGCACTGGCTGACTCTTCAGCAATTGCTGACTCTGAAAGCTGGGGGTGACAAACTATGTTAGATACTTAAGGTCCATTACTTTTCTGTTAATCCTTGCAGTTATCTACTAAGGTGCATATTACTAACTCCCCTTAGAGAAGGAGCCCTGAGCCTCAGCGAAGTTGTGAGTTACCACGAGTCTCTGTCAACAGTGGCAGTGTGGTGACTCAGACTCAGGGCTGGGCTGCAAGCCAAGCTCCCCTTCCAGCGGGACAGGGTCCTTCCAACGATCCTTATCCCGTCGTGGAGGAAGAAATGCGATCTACGTGGCAAGCTAGTGAACGTGCATGTAACTGCCATTCTGAACTTGATCACGACTGCCTGTGATCTTAGGAGACCTGATGGCATAGAAGGTTGCATGCTAGGCTGCTAACTGCAGGGTCAGGAGTTCAAAACCACCAGTTGCTCTGAGGGGGGAAAGATGAAGTTTTCTACTTCCTTAAAGATGCACAGTCCTGGAGACTTACAGGGCAGGGACAATTCTACTCTGTCCTATAGGGTCACTAGGAGTTGCGGAATCGACTCGATGGCAGTGAGTTTGGTCGTGGTTTTGGCTTGTGAGCGTTACTGATGTTTTATATTTATATCCTTTCTAGTCTATTTGCTTTAAAAAAATTTTTTTTTGCTTTCGTTTCTAAAACGCTTTTGCGACCCATGAAATTGATTTCACAGCCCACTGTTGGGTCAGAACCTCACAATAGCAGCACCCTGTGGAAGGGTTTCCCATTGGGCCTCGCTCACCCTGCCCAGAAGGGACTAGAACTGGGCACTGGTGATGAGGACACTCCCTGTACCTCCAGCGAAGCCCCTGCACCCTCTAATCCACCTCTCCCCATAGCCTTGCTCACAGACACATGGTCCCCAGAGGAAGCTCAGCTAGGAGCTAGGTTATACCACAGGAATACCCACTACCTCCTATTACCAGAAACGCCAAGGGAGGTGGTCCTGAGGTGCTAAATCCCGTGGTGGGCCACCTCAACCACATGGCCATGTGGACAACCAGCAAGCCCAGAGGCAGGGAATGAAGCCACACCTTCTTCTCTTGTTCCCTTCCCCGTTCAGCGAGGCTAACGTTCCCAGAAGCCACCCCTGCAGACGTCCCTCTCCCACCTCATGAGTTGGATGTGGCTCACGTGCTGTGGCCATCCCAGTCAAGGATCGGAACCCCCAGCTTTGTCAGAGACCCGTATTTTCTGATCCCTTGCGGGGTGGATTCACTTGGTTGACTGAGTGGGGTTGAGCCGGCAATTTTCCAATTGAGATCCAATTATCAGTATACTACACAACAACTAGGTTAAAGTGCCGGTTTGGGAAATGTTTACCTCTGTCCAGTCTTATGTGCGTGTGGGCACACACACATGTACGAGTGATCTGGAAAGCCATGTGACCAGTCGTGTTTCCCCCGCCCCCCACTCCCCAATACCAGGACGGCGGGAAGCAGCTCCTGGAAGGGATGACAGACAACAAGACCCTCCTGGAATTTGACCTGCGCCTGTCAGACGTGGCCCAGGAGAGCGAGTATCTCATTGGCCAGGCCCTCCAAGCCAACCGAGAAGCAGCCCGCCAGCGGATCCTGAGTCCCAACCAACTGTCACCCACCATTAATGGTCCCGAGAAACCTGCAGGATGAGATGGGGACCCCAGTCACACCTGCTGCAGAACTGCTCACCGGTCCGGGGGTGGGGGGTGCAGAGACCATGACCATCCTGAGGGTGAGTGAGTAAGTGGTATGGGAGAAGATGTGAACAGAGACAGAGGGCCTGGGCTGCAGGGCTAGGAAATGGTGACCCAGTCAGTCCCTGTGCCCAGCGAGGGTAGAAGTGGACCCTCAGAAATGACCCACTTCTTTGGGGAATCGAAAAAAGGGAGCAGGCTCTGAGGGACAGACTGGGCATAACCAACTTCTCCCAGGAGGATAGTCCGTTCTCTTAGGCCCCACTTGCCACCATTTCCTTCTCTCCAGAACAGAGGCATGACCTCTGAACCACAGGCTACCCCAGAGCCTTCCACCTCGAGGGGAGGGGAGAGTCAGCGCCACACTGGAAAGTCTATGAGTCATCCACAACTTTATTGTCCGCCAGTTTGATTTGTACAATCTTTGCGCTTGGAACTCCACGACAGAAAGGCCACAGTGTGATGCGCCCAATGGACAGAGATCTGTCTCCTCCCCAGCCAGGCCCAGCCCAGCCCACAAGCCCTTGTCCCCAGGATACACAGAGCTTCCCAGATGCCCTCAGTGAGTCCCCATCACCCTGTGGCTGCCAGCACAACTGCCGGTCCTGGGCCACACAAGAATCCCAGTCAGCACCCTGGAGGCATGGGAGGACCTGATGGATGGAATCAGGCTAATTGTATCTTCATCCACCTTTGACCCAGGGGTCCAGACCCTGCAGACTAGTGCTCCCAAAAGGGTGGCTCGTGGCCTGAAGCCACAGCTCAGGGTCGCATGCCACCCAAGGACTCCTTCCCACAAGTAGGCGCCGGGCAGAGCACCAGAGGGGGCTCAGGTGTGACTGCATGTGTGTGCCTGTCCAGGTGACCTAGGGTCTGCCTGTCTCTGCCTGACTCCCTCTGAAAATTCTAGAGTGCAAAAGTGTGTGTGTGTAGCCACAGCCACTAGCAGAGGTCCTAATTAGAGAAACAAGAACATTCAGTGTAAAGTTTAATTTTAGAGATTAACTTTCTGGTTTTAGTTCTCCCTGGCAATCCATAAAGCTACCAAGAAAACAGACCAAAGAAATGGTTCCTCTCTCTAAGTCTGTGCATGTGTGGGAGGGGAGGCTGGCTGTGTAAGGCCTAAGCAGACACGGTCGATACAGGCAGAAACATTAATAGGGACCCCCGCCCCCTGCTCTCAGCCCAGGCTCTGTCAGGAACAGGCCTGAGGGAAGAGGAGCCGGGAGGTAGCCAGGCTGCCCCCACAGGAGAACATGACATCCAGGTGCCAGCTGGCCGAGAACTGGGGCCTGCGGCCAAGGCTCACCACCTGTACCGCCCAGATGTCCCTTCAGAGGAAAGAGGGGCACTCTAGCAGGTGGCCAAGGAGCACAGAATCAGGTCCAAGCCGGCCAGCACTGGTAGGCAGTAGCCAGGGCAACCTGGTAGGCAGCTGTCCCCTCTGTGTGAGCCACCCCTTCCCCAGTTTCCCCTCCCTCCCCAAGACAACCATCTGCTCTCATGGAAGTAAAGCTCACCCCCACCCCCCGACAGGCTATGGGCCCCAGTGTCCCCACATTGTGCCCCCCTTCCCTGGGGGGCCAGATGATGTTGCATAGGTGGAGGCCTCACCAGTTGGTGGGAACAGACCTGGCTGGGCTGAGGTTGGGGGAGGGGAGCGGGAGAAGCTGGTGGGGGTGGACGCTGATGGATCAGACAGTGTGAGAAGCCTAGTGGGGGGCGACAATGCCCAGCTGGCCCAAAGGTTACCCCCTCTGTTGGAAAACTTTAGTGGGGGGGATTGCACACAGACATGCACACTGAAGCTCGGGGGTGGGGGGGGGTGGAGGACGATGAGGGGACGGAGAGGGGGGCCTCAGAACTAGAGGGAAACAGGACCTAGGGCCTGCACCCTGGGGGAGGCGGGTGGAAGGGTGTCTCTTTGGAGACTCTAGGACGACCAGCAGGGTTTCGGCTCATCAGGTGGCACAAGAGGAGGGGGGAGGAGGGGTCAGCAAGATTTGGGGGCCTCCTGCGTTTCTCCAGTTGGGCTTGCAGAGGCAGGAGTGAGGTCAACCAGTCTCCACCCCTCCCCACAGCAGGGAGGAGACCCCCCACCCTACTCCATCTTTAAAAGGCCTTTCAGGTCACCTACCTACACCTGCCCTCTCCCAGGGGCCTCTTCTCTGGTCACTCAGGTCTGTCACACCCTCTGCTCTCTCCGCCATGCCCTCTGGAATCTCACCCCACCCTGAAGAGAGTGCCCACTCAGAGTCCTAGTGAAGAGGCTCCTTCGGAGAGGCCTCCCAGCTCAGAGCTGGGACCAAGTCTCTCCACATGGCACCTCCCCCTTCCCCCATCTCCCTAGCAACAGCTCTTGGGAGCCTGGGAGCAGGTGAGTGTGGCTGTGTAGTGAGCATGTCCCCCCAGGACCGGGGACTCCTGGGGCCCAGTGAGATAAACAACAGTGAAGGGGTGGCAGCGAGGTAACCCCAAGCTCTTGGGCCAGCGCCAAGAAGAGGGACAACAGCGAGTCCACGGAGCTGGACTGGAGTGTCGCGCTGACACCGGTTCCGGGAACTGCGACCCATTTGAGTCCCTTGCTGGCTGGAAGCCAGCCCCGCTGGTCACTAGACCACCACCGCCTCCGTTGGGAGAGACCCCAGCGGGGCGAGACAACAGAGGAAGGAAAGGTCCAGGTCCCCTTCCCCACACGGCCGCTGCACCTCCCAGCTGCACAGCGAGGGTCTCCCCGTTGAGAGGGGGACCCATTAACAGTCAGAGGATCCGCCGAAAAACTGGAAAGGAAATCCCGAGAGTGCCCTCCAGAATGGGCGACTCTGCTAGGTTGGGTCCCAGGGAGCTGCCAAGCCCCTCCCACCCATCTGTCTCTATGTACAGGGAAGGGCAGAGGTCTCGAACCCTGGCCCATCTGGGTCTGTCCACTGAGCCTCGCCTTGCCCCCTGTCAGCCCAGCATGGTCTCTGTCGGCCTCCGTGACACCCCCCACCCACCCACCCCCGCTACACCCTGGGGGCACGGTCAGGCGAGGGCGAGGGGAAGGCCAAGCGCAGCAAGGGCCTCTTTACAGGGCCAGTGGTCACAGTGAGGTCTCTACGCAGGAGCCGTGGCGGTGCAGTGGCCGGTGGCTGTGGCCCAGACACCCCTCCTGCCGGTGGACGATGAGGACGGGGAAGTAGAGGGCGTCGTGATAGGGCGGGGGCGGGCCGGCCTCGTCCTCGTCGTCGTCCTCCTCGTCGTCCCCCATGCTGGCCTGGCTGGACAGGCGCGTCTGCTCCGTGGGGCAGCTGGCCTCGTTGACGCTCCCGCTCCGGCTGCGCCACAGGCAGCTACGCCGCGAGCCGTAGAGGCGGCCGAGCGAAAAGCGGCTGCCCCCGCAGCCCGCGCCGCCGCCGGGGCCCAGGCCAGCCCGCGGGCTGGCGCAGATGCTCAGGGCGCTGCGGGAGAAGATGGACGAGCTGCTGGCGGCGCGCTGGCAGTGTTCGCAGCTGCGCCGGTACGGGGCCACGCCCGCCGCGCCCGGCCCGCCCACCCCGCCGTAGCGACAGGTGGGCGCGTAGCCGCCCGCCGCGCCCCCGGCGCAGCGCGCCCCGAGCCCCGCCAGGTCCATGAGCACCGCCTCGGAGTAGCTGGGCACCAGCTGCTGGTTGGAGCGGATGTGCCACTCGAGCTCCGTGCTGTCCACCGTGTTGACCCGCGGCAGGCGGTGGGTGAGCGGGGGCAGCAGCTCGTCGCTGGGGCTCAGGCCGCCGCCCGCGCTGCTCGCCGAGCTCGGGCCCTCCAGGCCGAAGAGCTTCTCCACGTGGTAGTGCGCGTAGGCCGTGCGGTACTCGGCCAGCACGCGCAGCGGCCACGACAGCGTCAGCAGCGCCGCCGCCCAGAAGGCCGACGAGCAGGCGTACCACGGCGGCCGGGCCGGGTCCGGGAAGGCCACCATGAACTCGCGGAAGTCCACGTTCTTCAGGTGCATGCCCTCGCGCGCCTCCATGTAGTCGTCCAGGCCCTCGTTCTCGGCGAAGAAGCGCGCGCGCTGGCACAGGTACGCGTTCTCGGCCTCCACGCTGGCGAAGCTGAAGCACTTGGTGAAGCGGAGTCGCGTGGCCGGCGCGCCCTCCAGCCCCACCAGCGCCTTGGACACGTCGCGGACCCCGCAGCGCGCGTAGTCGAACTCGGCCTCGGCCACGTGCGTGTTGACGCGCTCGTGGTAGACCTGTGGTGAGGAGGCAGAGTTGGTAGTGCCCATTGACATCTGTGCCTCCTCGCTGGCTCCTGTGGCTCGCTGCCCCTGAGCCCTGGACAAATCTAAACCTGCCCCCGAGGCGTGGAGAAAGTGCCATCAGGGGAGGAGCCGTTATCCGACAAAGACCCCCCATCCCCCAAATCATGAATTCGGGTTGAATCAGGAACTAGAAGAACCCTCCTGTGAGTGTTCTCACTTTACATAAGCTCTGCTCCTCCTTCAAGCCCTGGTTGCCTAGTGATTACGAGTCAGGCGCTAACCACAAGGTCAGCAGTTCAAAACCACAAGCTGTTCTGCAGGAGCTGGATGCGCCTTTCTGCTCCCCTGGAGTTAGTCTAGAAATCCACAAGGGGAGTCCTGTGCCGTCCTTATAGGGTCGCTGTGGGTCGGAATGAACTCCATAGCAGGGATTTGCTTTGGGTTCTGTTCCCTCGGGGTCAGATGCTGGCTTACCTTGCCCTTTGACCTCTGCCCCCCCCCCCAAACACCCCAAAAGCCACCCCACTCCTTGTCCTTTACAAGGGTGTTTCCAAACGGGAACCCTCTGTGGGAAGAGCCCTTTGTCTCTGGACTCCCTATTCTACTCTTACTTCTCACCAGCCCCAGGCTGAGACAGATGACCCACATCTGGAAGCATCCCCTCCTGCAGGGCCCTGTATATCTAAGGCTGGCCAGCTGACCCTTCCTGGAGGGCCTCCCATGCCCACCTCTACCCCTTTGTAAGCCTTGGACTTAGGATCTGGGAACTTGGGCTTGAGTCTAGCACGACCCCTGAGGAACTGCTGGTCTCCTTTGGCTCACATTTCCCAGTTAGCAGCTCCCTGGCCTGGCAGTTGGGAGCATGCTGTGAGGCTGTGCCTGGGAAGATATCGCCAACCATTAAGTACTGAACAAATCCAGTCAGCAATCAACAGTGTAGACTCTGGAGCCAGACTGTCTGGCTTTGAATTCCAGCTCCACCACAATGAACTGCTGGACATTAACCTCTATGGCCCTCAGTTTCCTCATCTGAAAAATGGGACTCATAGTTACCCCCCTCAGTCACAGTTACCTCCCTCATGGGGCTGTTAGGAGGATTAAATAAACTGACATTTGTAAAGCCCTGGCCTGGGCCCTTGTCATGGTTGTTACTGTCCTCCTGGTACAGTGCCCATACCAGTCACTGCTGCCCGCCCCGCTCCTCCCAGGGGCAGGCGGGCAGGGTCAGAGCATCCCTCCCTGTCTGCATTAGCCTACGCTCCCCACTAGGCTCTCACCTGGGTGGTGGTGTAGGCATCGCCATTGCGGTAACGGGTGACCTGGCGGGTGCGGCGGACATAGTGGTAGCTGATGGCCTTCCACCAGATGCAGGGGGTGGCCTGCTGCATGCGGCCCACGCGCTCCCGCACACTGCTCACGTCCACGCGGTGCTGCAGCTCATGGCGGGCTTGGCAGTGCCAACACTCCACCAAATAGACGGCGTACAACATGAGCAGGAAGGCCAGGGGGATGTAGACATAGCCATTGGAGCAGGGGCTGTCGTGGTACATGAGGCTGTTGCCCTGGTAGGCGCTGCTGAAGGTGAGGCGGGTCACCGTGGTGACATGGCACCAGGCCACGGCCCCCAGACAGCCGTACATGAGCAGCGAGAGCAGCAGGCACTTCCAGTGGGACTCACGGCAGAGGGACTTGGTGAAAGAGGGCTGGATGGGACGCTGCTGCTCAGAAGGGCAGGAGGAGAGGGTCGAGACGCGGTAGGGAGTGAGAATGGGCAGGATGAGCACAGAAATGGGTGGAGGAGCAGAGGCCAGCCCCAGAGATGACAGGCAGAGACACACAGGGAGGGATGGGGAGAGAGAGAGAAGGCCAAGGACCAAAGATAAACAAAATATTGAGCCACGGGGGGCAAGCAAGGGGGAATGGGATGTCAATACAGAGAGGCACAGAGAAAGAGAAGTCCCAGGAGCCAGATAGCGATCAGTGCCAGAGATGGCAGAAGGCCCAGGCAGCAAAGACAGATGGATAGAACGGCACCCAGAAAGAGTCCGCAGACAACCCCAAGGACATCAGTGAAACAAGGTGAGGAAGGGGAAGACAGGAGGACAGACAGACAGGCGTCAGCAGAGGCAGGTGCCCAGCCCAGCCCCCTTTCAGGCGTTCTAGGAAAGGGGGAAGGGACCCAGTGACAGCATCTCCCACTTACCAGGCGGGGCCCTCACTGCTTCCAGACCCTCCGTCCTAGGTTCCAGGGGAGCCGCACCCCTTTGACCCATCTACTTCCCCAGCCTTCACAAAGAGCCCAATACTCCTTTTGAGGGCGTCCACCTGGGAGCCTCGGTCCCTGTCTCATTTCCCATGTTCTACACTCCAGCCCTCCCCTGTGAGTCGTCTCCTGTCCACCAACACCCTTCCCCCGGGTTCTAGGATGGGAGGGGTGGGCTAGGTCCCTGAGCAGAAGGCAGTCCACGAATAAGTATCCAGAGGGCTCTAAGAGGCACATAGCTGGGAAGAGGTGGGGGGAGTTACAGGGTGCTGGACAGACGGGGTGGGGTGCAAGATGTTTGCAGCTCAGTTATTTATCAAGAGAAAAGGATTCGGGGACTCTCCTGGGGCCTGTCCGCCAAAGCACTTGGCAGGTCCCTTCCCACAGCCCGGCCAGAGAGTTGTTTACATGTCTGGCTTCCCCACCAGGCTGGGTGCTCCTGGGGGCAGGGCCCAGCCCTTATTTTTCTTTGCACCCTATGACCCTACCATGGTGCTGGTGTCCAGCAGCTACTTAAAATGTGTTCTGGTGGTGACCTCTGCTTTCCCACCCCCTCCTCAAGCACCCCTTCCTGTTATTCCCACAAGCAGCCCGGCCTGCTGGGACTCTGATTTACTCCCTCAATTCAGTTCCCCAGTCCAGCCAGGGGAGTCAGGTCTGGTTGGAAGGGGACAGTAGCAGGCAGTGGTGGAAAGAGCTGTAGATCTGGAAGTACAAATAGGTGGGCTCCAGATAGCACACAACATATACCCACAGAGATTAAGATTCATGTGGCTTTCAAAAAGCCTTGCCCTTGGGAGGGTACCTATGTGCACCTTTATCTGGCCACCTGGGTGGACACTTGTCATCACGGGAGTACCACTGAAGGGGCCCTGCCTGCAAGTCTGCCCCTGCATGAGTGCTTGTGTGCAAATGTGGACCCGAGTGTGCATGGGGACCAGGGATGGGGTGATTCTCCTGGGACTTTCCGCCAGTGTCTTTGTCTCCAGGTTCAGAGGACTGAAGAGGAGGCCCTCATGTAGGATATGCTTAGAACCTAGACTGGAGAGGATCCCTGGGCTTAGAGTACCGGAAGAACAGCAGGGGCGCTGAGAAGAGGGGTGTACCCCATTCCACCCTCCATTCTACCTCACCCCACCACAGACACCCACCGCCAGTCACTGGTGGAGAGGCAACACGGCTGCACACCTTTGACCTCCTTAGGACCCCAGTCAGGTAACACCATCACATTCCGGTGGCACCCTCCTGGCTCTGTCACCCCTACAAGTCGCCCTTCCCAGCCTTCAAGGTAACACCCCCTGCGTGAGCTAGGATGTCGGCCACCATCCCCACCCAGGAGCAACTCGCCCCCTCCCCCATCACACCGGGTCCACGAGGCTCCGCCCCCAGATCCCTCCCCCTGCCCGGGACCCCTGAGCCCCGCCCCTGGCGCGGCCCCTTGCCCGCCACCGCGGACAGCTCCGGCACCGGTGGGGGCGGCGGCGCCGG